GCGCGTCAGTTTCACTCTTGACAAGCGAAGTAACACAAAGTGGTCAAGCGTCAAACTCGCTAGACGCGAATTTGCTGTGAACGTAGCATTACGGGGTTGAACAACGTGAGGTAGAGTAATTACTGACAGAATATTCATTTTGGGGTGAACTATCCCTTTAATGTAAGAAAATTGTTTGACTGTATGCAAATGCTAGTGCAGTGAATCTCAACTTTCAACTTTCCATGTTTGGAACCATCCTCAAACCAGATTTGATTGGTTTAATTACTTCACTTTTTATTTCACATTTTTCTTTCGTTTGAAATGTCTCATAGTTTAATGTTTCTTTTAGACCCGATGGAAGAACCAGAGAGAAACCTTACTCATGTGATCAATTCGGGAGGAGCTTCACGGATAAAGGAAACTTTAAGAGACACATGAGGATCCACACCGGAGAGAGACCATACACATGTGGTCAGTGTGGGAACAGTTTCATCAGTAAACAAAACCTTAAGAATCATAAGAAGCTTGTTGTATTTGTATACCGCTGTAACCTTAGAAATCATCCTGAAACATTCCCATAACCTGTTACAGTCATACATTTAAAGATGTACATCCAGTTCTCCAGGACTGCCCTGGGACGGACGGGATTAGCTGAAGAGTCATAATAATATACCCTTTTGTTATTTTGCTAAACTTTTTTGATTGTGTAACCTAGTATATTTCTTTTTTGTTTAAATAAACTTTTCTTATATAAAACAAGTATTTTTTTTCGTCTTCAGCTGTTCAAAGATCATTCAATTAGCAATGATGTAGACCTAGGGAACTAAAAAAAAGTCCTCGCTCTAGACTAGGTACTGAAAGAGTTATAGGAACTACGGTCTGTGGAACTAAAAAAATCCCCAATTTAGTCCGGTCGGAACACGAGAAAAAAAGGGTTATAGGAACGTTAGGTTCTAGGAACTGCAAAAGTCCCTCCGGTCGGAAAGCGGCTAATCACAGTCAAGCCCTGTACCGATTGCTCTTTCAGGCACTCTCTCTCTCTCTCTCTCTCTCTCTCTCTCTCTCTCTCTCTCTCTCTCTCCTCTGGTGCGCAATCTAAACTCAAGCGTGCTGTGTAACAATAGTAAATTTGATCTGCTTGAACATTTTAATCGTTTTTAATATTCAGAAGGATAGATTAAAATACCCGGTATTTAAAAAAAAATAAATAAAAACAAAATTATTAAAATGTAATAATAATGATCAATTTTTTATTTTTTTTTTGAGATCCGGGCCAAAGATCGAAGCCCCGAATGCCATGTCTAACGACGCGCCTGAGTTATGCTTCCACGTGTGAATCATTTTGATACTATATTTATCATCCCATGACGAGAGAGAGAGATAATCAATAAAATAATTCCTTTGAGGATTGTAAGGTTGAGTTTAAAATATAAACTAATTCATTGTATTTGCGTGTTTTAACATAAACAGTAGCATTAGCATAAGCAGTAGCAAATAACAACTTATTTGAAATACATCTTTGTAGAGACATCTGACGTACACGTACAAGAAACATACCTTTCTGAAACGTCATGTAGCAGCCGTTCGTGCACAAGTTCTGCTTGATTCCTCTCCACTGAAATTGCAAGAAGTCCGCGCTAAACCTGTAGCGTATAGCTGGATGTGTTGGCGACGTCACAGACGCATGCGCACTAGTAGAGCGTGGTAAACAATCGCACGTGCTTTGATCTTCCATGAAGAATAAAATGAAATAAAAATGGTCATTTAAGTGACAACACCACATTCCTGCAGTAATTCAGGCAAAAGGAGCCCCAACTAAGTATTGACTGTATTTTTTTTTTGTATTGGTATTCAGTAATATTCTCATTTTTGGAGGTACAGAATTAGGGGGTTTTCATTAGTTGCAGGTTATAATCATCTCAATTAAATGAAATACATCAGTCTGTGTGTAATGAATGAATATAATATCCAAGTTTCACTTTTTTATGGAATTACTGAAATAAATAACCTTTCTGATCAGGTGTGCTCCTACAGTAGTCACATTCAAATCCAGACTCAAAACACATCTGTTTAGCTGTGCATTTACTGAATGAGCACTGTGCCACTGTTCGTCCGACTGTTACTGCACTTCATTTTATTCTAAATGGTTTTACTTTACTGTATTTTATTTTTATCATAATTTTTTATTTTTCATTATTTCTTATTTTTTATTCTAAACTGTTTTAATTATTCTGATTTCTTTTTTGGATTATTTTAATTTCTTCTATGTAAAGCACTTTGAATTGCCATTGTGTATGAAATGTGCTATATAAATAAACTTGCCTTGCCTTGCCTAATGATTCTGATGCACCTGTATTAATCTGCATCTTTTGCCCTTTTGGGAATGACAACAACATTATCTGGCCCCCCGCCGTGTCCAAAAATCAAATTTGGCTCCCTTTAAAAAAAAAGTGTGGAAACCCATGTTTTAAGTGTGAATATAGAGAAGTGGAAATTGTATGATTGCATGTTGATTGGATCATTTGATTTAGCCAATCAAACTTGTATATATATATATATTGTCATCAACCCATCTATCTTGCTTATAAACTTTTACATTACCATTTAAATTCTTCCACTGCTAGAAGACTCCAGCCTAGGAAGTTAACCAGTTCAGCTCCAGTTTAAGAGTTCTGGGAGAAAAACAACGCTCGGGAACCAAATTCTACAGTTTAATATCCTGCTGTTTTTAAACAAATAAAGTGTAAATTGCAGGTTAACCACTACAGCCAATAAATGTGTCTGCAGCATTTTGGTATCAAAACAACAAAAAACAATTGTGGGCAGTTCTTATCTTTCATGTATGCCATGTTTTTTTTTATTCTATACATTTTGAAAAATTAATGTGAAAAGTTGTCAAATGTCAAGAACAGTGTCTTCATTTTATGAATGCAGTAATGCATATTACAGTAATTCAAAATATAAAAATGTTTACAGTATTTAGTTACTGAGATTAAATTTACAGTAAACATACTGTAAAATGACCTACAGCAACTGACGTGTTAAATGCTGCCAGCAAGTTACTGTAAATTTCACAGTATTCTGTTTACAGTGCAGCAATGAGTACATCATGATCACAGCAGCGAGAGATGAGGAATTACAAGAACACAGATGAAGGGTTTGATCAAACTAAATACTGCAAACAGGGTTTCTCCACTGTGTGGATCCTCATGTGTAGCTTCAGGCGACTTTTAATGGAGAAACTCTTTCCGCACTGATCACATGTGTGCGGCTTCTCTCCAGTGTGGATCCTCTCATGTGTTTTCAGATGTTGTGACTGACTGAATCTCTTGTCACAGTGTGAACACTTGTAAGGTTTTTCCCCAGTGTGAATCCTCTCATGTGTTTTCTGATTTGCTGAATTACTGAATCTCTTGTCGCAGTGTGAACACTTGTAAGGTTGTTCTCCAGTGTGAATTCTCTGATGCAGTTTTAAACAGTTCGCTGAAATAAAAGTCTTCTCACACTCAATGCACATGTACTCTTTCACACCAGTGTGTATTTTCTGATGCCCATGTAAATATCGCAGCAGTGAAAAACTCTTTCCACACACAGAACATGAATACGGCTTCTCCATCGTATGAACTCTCAGGTGTGTCTTCAGGTCTGATGCAGTAAGAAATGTTTTGCCACATTGATGACAACTGAATGACTTTTGTCCAATGTGGATCTTCATGTGTTCTTTAAGGTGTACTGATTGTGTGAAACTCTTCCCACACTGATCACATGAGAACGGCTTCTCTCCGGTGTGGATCCTCATGTGAACATTAAGGGATGATGATTGACTGAAACACTTCCCGCATTGATCACATGAGAACGGCTTCTCTCCGGTGTGGATCCTCAAGTGAATCTCAAGATGTTGTTTGGTTGTTAAACTCTTCCCACACTGAGTGCAGGTGAAAGATTTATCTGCTCTTTTCTTTAAAAATGTCTGTTTAGTCTTTGAGTAACTCAAGGGTTTTCCTCCAGGTTGGACATGATGTTCCTCCTTCACTTCACTCAGTTCTTCTCTCTCCTCCTTCACTTCTCTCAGTTCTTCTCTCTCCTCCTTCACTTCTCTCAGTTCTTCTCTCTCCTCCTTCACTTCACTCAGTTCTTCTCTCTCCTCCTTCACTTCTCTCAGTTCTTCTCTCTCCTCCTTCACTTCTCTCAGTTCTTCTCTCTCCTCCTTCACTTCACTCAGTTCTTCTCTCTCCTCCTTCACTTCTCTCAGTTCTTCTCTCTCCTCCTTCACTTCACTCAGTTCTTCTCTCTCCTCCTTCACTTCTCTCAGTTCTTTTCTCTCCTCCTTCACTTCACTCAGTTCTTCTCTCTCCTCCTTCACTTCACTCAGTTCTTCTCTCTCCTCCTTCACTTCCATCAGGTCTGAAATGAAAGAAAAAAAGTTTGATTCCATTTTAAGCAAATCAAAAAATTAAACAAAGAGTATTTGTCACGACAAGCACACACAAACAGGTAAGAACCAAGAGCAGATTTATTGGGTAATCCGTGAGTGTAAATCCAGGCAGGAAAAAGGTCAAAATCCAGGTAAGGGCAGTCCAAAACATATATCCAGATAGGAACAGATCTCCGTAGTGCTGGTAACATTTAACAAGGATTCCATGACAAAAACTAAAAAGGCAGGGTATTTATACACATAAAAGTTTATACAGTCAGGCGGCCACGGTAGCGGAAAAAGTTCGGGAACAGACCCCGACTCATGACCAGACACCGGCTCAGGTAGAGGAGGCACCGGCACAGGAAGAGGAGACACCGGCTCAGGAAGAGGAGACACCGGCTCAAGAAGAGGAGACACCGGCTCAGGAAGAGGAGACACCGGCTCAGGAAGAGGAGACACCGGCTCAAGAAGAGGAGACACCGGCTCAAGAAGAGGAGGCACCGGCTCAGGAACAGCAGTCTCCGGCTCAGGAAGAGCAGACACCGGCTCAGGAACAGCAGACACCGGCTCAGGAACAGCAGACACCGGCTCAGGAACAGCAGACACCGGCTCAGGAAGAGCAGACACCGGCTCAGGAACAGCAGACACCGGCTCAGGAAGAGCAGACACCGGCTCGGGAAGAGCAGACATCGGCTCGGGAAGAGCAGACACCGGCTCAGGAAGAGCAGACACCGGCTCGGGAAGAGCAGACACCGGCTCAGGAAGAGCAGACTCCGGCTCAGGAACAGCAGTCTCCGGCCCCGGCTCGGGAAGAGCAGACACCGGCTCGGGAAGAGCAGACAACGGCTCAGGAAGAACAGACACCGGCTCAGGAAGAGCAGACTCCGGCTCTCAGCAGACTCAGGAAGAGCAGACATCGGCTCGGGAACAGCAGACACCGGCTCGGGAACAGCAGACACCGGCTCGGGAAGAGCAGACACCGGCTCGGGAACAGCAGACACCGGCTCAGGAAGAGCAGACACCGGCTCGGGAAGAGCAGACACCTGCTCGGGAACAGCAGACACCGGCTCAGGAAGAGCAGACACCGGCTCGGGAAGAGCAGACACCTGCTCGGGAACAGCAGACACCGGCTCAGGAAGAGCAGACATCGGCTCGGGAACAGCAGACACCGGCTCGGGAACAGCAGACACCGGCTCTGGAAGAGCAGACACCGGCTCGGGAAGAGCAGACACCTGCTCGGTAACAGCAGACACCGGCTCGGGAACAGCAGACACCGGCTCAGGAAGAGCAGACAACGGCTCAGGAAGAGCAGACACCGGCTCGGGAAGAGCAGACACCGGCTCGGGAAGAGCAGACACCTGCTCGGGAAGAGCAGACACCGGCTCGGGAACAGCAGACACCGGCTCGGGAAGAGCAGACACCGGCTCGGGAACAGCAGACACCGGCTCAGGAAGAGCAGACAACGGCTCAGGAAGAGCAGACACCGGCTCGGGAAGAGCAGACACCAGCTTGGGAACAGCAGACACCGGCTCGGGAACAGCAGACACCGGCTCGGGAACAGCAGACACCGGCTCGGGAACAGCAGACACCGGCTCGGGAAGAGCAGACACCTGCTCGGGAACAGCAGACACCGGCTCAGGAAGAGCAGACATCGGCTCGGGAACAGCAGACACCGGCTCGGGAACAGCAGACACCGGCTCTGGAAGAGCAGACACCGGCTCGGGAAGAGCAGACACCTGCTCGGTAACAGCAGACACCGGCTCGGGAACAGCAGACACCGGCTCAGGAAGAGCAGACAACGGCTCAGGAAGAGCAGACACCGGCTCGGGAAGAGCAGACACCGGCTCGGGAAGAGCAGACACCTGCTCGGGAAGAGCAGACACCGGCTCGGGAACAGCAGACACCGGCTCGGGAAGAGCAGACACCGGCTCGGGAACAGCAGACACCGGCTCAGGAAGAGCAGACAACGGCTCAGGAAGAGCAGACACCGGCTCGGGAAGAGCAGACACCAGCTTGGGAACAGCAGACACCGGCTCGGGAACAGCAGACACCGGCTCGGGAACAGCAGACACCGGCTCAGGAAGAGCAGACAACGGCTCAGGAAGAGCAGACAACGGCTCAGGAAGAGCAGACACCGGCTCAGGAACAGCAGTCTCCGGCTCAGGAAGAGCAGACACCAGCTCAGGAACAGCAGACAGCGGCTCAGGAAGAACAGACACCGGCTCGGGAAGAGCAGACATCGGCTCGGGAAGAGCAGACACCGGCTCAGGAAGAGCAGACACCGGCTCGGGAAGAGCAGACACCGGCTCAGGAAGAGCAGACTCCGGCTCAGGAACAGCAGTCTCCGGCCCCGGCTCGGGAAGAGCAGACACCGGCTCGGGAAGAGCAGACAACGGCTCAGGAAGAACAGACACCGGCTCAGGAAGAGCAGACACCGGCTCGGGAAGAGCAGACACCTGCTCGGTAACAGCAGACACCGGCTCGGGAACAGCAGACACCGGCTCGGGAACAGCAGACACCGGCTCGGGAACAGCAGACACCGGCTCAGGAAGAGCAGACACCGGCTCGGGAAGAGCAGACACCTGCTCGGTAACAGCAGACACCGGCTCGGGAACAGCAGACACCGGCACAGGAAGAGGAGACACCGGCTCAGGAAGAGAAGACACCGGCTCAGGAAGAGGAGACACCGGCTCAGGAAGAGGAGACACCGGCTCAAGAAGAGGAGGCACCGGCTCAGGAACAGCAGTCTCCGGCTCAGGAAGAGCAGACACCGGCTCAGGAAGAGCAGACACCGGCTCAGGAACAGCAGACACCGGCTCAGGAAAAGCAGACACCGGCTCAGGAACAGCAGACACCGGCTCAGGAAGAGCAGACACCGGCTCAGGAAGAGCAGACATCGGCTCGGGAAGAGCAGACATCGGCTCGGGAAGAGCAGACATCGGCTCGGGAAGAGCAGACATCGGCTCGGGAAGAGCAGACATCGGCTCGGGAAGAGCAGACACCGGCTCAGGAAGAGCAGACACCGGCTCGGGAAGAGCAGACACCGGCTCAGGAAGAGCAGACTCCGGCTCAGGAACAGCAGTCTCCGGCCCCGGCTCGGGAAGAGCAGACACCGGCTCGGGAAGAGCAGACAACGGCTCGGGAAGAACAGACACCGGCTCAGGAAGAGCAGACACCGGCTCGGGAAGAGCAGACACCTGCTCGGTAACAGCAGACACCGGCTCGGGAACAGCAGACACCGGCTCGGGAACAGCAGACACCGGCTCGGGAACAGCAGACACCGGCTCTGGAAGAGCAGACACCGGCTCGGGAAGAGCAGACACCTGCTCGGGAAGAGCAGACACCGGCTCGGGAACAGCAGACACCGGCTCGGGAACAGCAGACACCGGCTCGGGAAGAGCAGACAACGGCTCGGGAAGAGCAGACAACGGCTCGGGAAGAGCAGACACCGGCTCGGGAAGAGCAGACACCGGCTCGGGAAGAGCAGACACCGGCTCGGGAAGAGCAGACACCTGCTTGGGAACAGCAGACACCGGCTCGGGAACAGCAGACACCGGCTCGGGAACAGCAGACACCGGCTCGGGAACAGCAGACACCGGCTCGGGAACAGCAGACACCGGCTCGGGAACAGCAGACACCGGCTCGGGAAGAGCAGACAACGGCTCTGGAAGAGCAGACAACGGCTCAGGAAGAGCAGACACCTGCTCGGGAACAGCAGACACCGGCTCGGGAACAGCAGACACCGGCTCGGGAACAGCAGACACCGGCTCGGGAAGAGCAGACAACGGCTCTGGAAGAGCAGACACCGGCTCGGGAAGAGCAGACACCTGCTCGGGAACAGCAGACACCGGCTCGGGAACAGCAGACACCGGCTCGGGTACAGCAGACACTGGCTCGGGAACAGCAGACACCGGCTCAGGAAGAGCAGACAACGGCTCAGGAAGAGCAGACAACGGCTCAGGAAGAGCAGACACCGGCTCAGGAACAGCAGTCTCCGGCTCAGGAAGAGCAGACACCAGCTCAGGAACAGCAGACAGCGGCTCAGGAACAGCAGACACCGGCTCAGGAAGAGGAGACACCGGCCCCAGCTCAGGAAGAACAGACACCGGCTCAGGAACACCAGACACCGGCCCTAGCTCAGGAAGAGCAGACAACGGCTCAGGAAGAGCAGACACCGGCTCAGGAAGAACAGACACCGGCTCGGGAACAGCAGACACCGGCTCGGGAACAGCAGACACCGGCTCGGGAACAGCAGACACCGGCTCGGGAACAGCAGACACCAGCTCGGGAACAGCAGACACCAGCTCGGGAAGAGCAGACACCAGCTCAGGAAGAACAGACACCGGCTCGGGAACAGCAGACACCGGCTCGGGAACAGCAGACACCGGCTCGGGAACAGCAGACACCGGCTCAGGAAGAACAGACACCGGCTCGGGAACAGCAGACACCGGCTCAGGAAGAACAGACACCGGCTCGGGAACAGCAGACACCGGCTCGGGAACAGCAGACACCGGCTCGGGAACAGCAGACACCGGCTCAGGAAGAACAGACACCGGCTCGGGAACAGCAGACACCGGCTCAGGAACAGCAGACACCGGCTCGGGAACAGCAGACACCGGCTCGGGAACAGCAGTCTCCGGCTCGGGAACAGCAGGCACCGGCTCAGGAACAGGAGGCACCGGCCCCGGCTCAGCAGACACCGGCTCAGGAACAGCAGACACCGGCTCGGGAACAGCAGTCTCCGGCTCAGGAACAGCAGACACCGGCTCCAGCTCAGGAACAGGAACCACGGACACGAAAGGTCTGAAAGGCCTCTCCAGGATCCCAGCCCGACGCTCCAAATATTCGGTTAGTGCCACCCCTCGGCCCCGACAATTGGCATCTCCTGATCTCTCTCTGGCTTATGTGAACAGTCTCTGGCTGGGCAGACGTGACGTGAACAATCTCTGGCTGGGCCTCCGGAAGAACGTCGAGCGGATGGGGCACGGCCTCAGAGCACTTGGGGAGGCTAGAGGTCTTCCCCCTCCTCCACCGTCTCTGATGGCGATGTGTTGACTCTGGTCTGGGCGGAATCGGAAGCGAATGGAGCTCTGAGCTGGACATCACCAGCCCAGGGTCGAAGAGAGACCGAAGACGAGAGTGATGCCGGGACTCACCTCTAGTACCTCCTCTCCTACGAGCTCCACGGACCCCAGAAAACCTGGACAGATGGGTTCCCTCAAACAAACATCCGTGTTCGATGGAAAGGGGCTCAGGAGATTCTACCACGGTGATGCAAGCCCATAATGCAAAGCACCCGAAAATATTCATCTGAGACAGCACCTCCCCAAATTGCGCAATCCCCCTCTGCTGCATCTTCTCACTCTCTGTGGCTGGGGAAGAGGCACAAAAACCCATACCGCTGGATCTATTCATGATGGGATCCTTTCGGATCAAGAATTAATTTAGAATTAAGAAGAATTAATTTACTCAAAGTTCTGTTTGTGAGACAGAACTTTATACATGAAGACTTATAGGCTACAAACAATAGAAACCAGTTAGGACCTGCTAATCTGAGCAATGCTTTTTCTTTGTCATTCACACCAATCAGTTTCTATGGGCCATTCATCTGTGTGGTACACACCTTTACAGACACTGATAGAGTTGATTACATCTGAGGCATAGTAACAATGTAAATGCATCTGACTAAAGTTAACTGAAAATACTCATAATCTTTCACGCCAACATCTTGATGTGGGTCTGGCTTGCCAGGCTAGCTCAGATACGGTCCAGTTCTGGTTTATTGGTTTTATTTTTTCGCTCTTGGCTGACATGTGGCATTACTATACACCGTCGTAGAATCTATGATCTGTGGTTGGAATTAAACAGCACAGACGGACAAACAAAATTGAACAATATTATCTTCTTAATAATAATGTATTGCATGACATCTCAAGCTAGCAACCTTAAACATACAGATTACGTAAGCTTCCCACAACAATATTTTACAACCTTTTCATGATCATTTTATTTTAGATGGATTACTGCTGGGATGCTTGGATGTAATAAAATATCCAAGTTTCTCTCTTTGAATGCAATTACTGAAATAAATCAACATTTTGATTATTTTCTAATTATATGACCAACACCTGTATAAATTAGAGTTTGCTTAAGTTATAATTACAACCATGTCAGCCTTATTGGAAAGTTCTTTAACTTGATATAGTTTGGCATTAACTGTTTATTGGTAAAAATAATTATAATAATAACTATATTGAAAAGTTATTGGCAACACCGTTGCAAAGAATTGTTGAACCATATATAAATAAAACAAAAAAGTGCTAAAATAATATTTATGATCTTTAATGACCATTTGTTGAAAGTAAACAAGAACATTTTGTATAATTTCATAGTTGAACTGTTTATCTAAAAGTGATGAAGAGCTTGAATGTTTCTAACATGGATGTTCTCCAGCATCATGAATGAATGAAGAATAAACACCAACCTCTTTGTTCTTCAGGATCTTCAGTGTGTTTCCTTCTGCAGGGTTCTGGATCACTCATGTTCTCACTGTCCTCTTTAGTAAACTCAGTCTTTGCAGATTTCAGCTCTTCCTGATGCTTTCATGCTCGTCTTCACTTGTAGCTGATGGGAATTTACAGTGTTTATTGGGGAATTACAGTGGAAGGAGCTTCACTGATGACGTGATTGATGTGGGAGGAGCTTCACTGGTGTTGTGCATGTTGTGGGAGGAGCTTCACTGATGATGAATGCCAGTGTGGGAGGAGATGATCTGCAAAAAATCGATAATGTTCAAAAAAATCTATAATCAGTTACCGAGTTTGTTTTTGTACTAAATATTTCCGTCTGTATATTGTAAAGTAACTGATGCTAATTCAAAACTTATTTTATTACTCGGATTAACTAATCCGACCTCTAATTAAAATACAGCAGATACCTAGAAATACAGAAAGGAACACAAATGATGAATTGAAAATTCAAAAATATATGTTAGTAATTGTCAGAAAAACGTACATATTTGTAACAAACAAATACCTTTAGTCTTAGACCAGTGAAATGAGCTTAAAGTGTCAATTTACAGACATCAGCATAATACATGAGGTGAAAACTGGAACTATATACAGGCCTAGTACGACAGTTATCGGTTTAAACGTGTGCATGTGAATTAAATGTGGGACAATGGCCTTCATCATCTCAGTGAGTTAATGCTGTGAATCAGGAAGGAATCGTCATTATGCAGATTGAGGACTGATGTGTCTCTTACACCTCTAACACACATCTGTGCCCTGTGTTACACACGTGCTTATTTTCACCAGACTAACGTGTGTTCTATAATGGACCATGTAGATACTGAGACATATAAAGTACAACAAAAACGTTAATGGAGTGAGGTGACTAAATGTTTCCTATTATTGGTTCAAAATAGCAATATAAAACAATGTTTTCAGCAGGGTTGATCAGCTTTTTTCGAAGGTTTTATTGTTTTTACGGGGTGCAGTCTAACATTTGTTTACTTCATTTAAACAAACGCATTATTTTCCATATTATTTACCTTTATTCCACACCGCTGTGTCTGTGTTGTGTCTCTTCTCGTAAACCGGGCTGATGATTTCCTGGTTGTAAGAAGCCTTTCCCTCAGAAATACATGACGCGCTCTGATTGGTCAGCTTGGCCCTTGTGTTCTTCTTCTTCTTCTTATATGATTCCGGCAGTGTAGACGCTGCTGAGCGTATTACTGCCCTCCACGGATCAAAGTTTGTACTAAATTCTTACATACAATCCTGTGTCATGCAGGAATTGAAGAACTGCTTTGGAGATCAGTTTATGCTCATCACTGTGTCCAAACAAAGATAAAACAGAAAAAGCCTTAACTCCATGTCCTGACAGTTTACTAAAGAGAACATTTCTTTCAACCCTATACTTTCTGCATTCCAGGAAAACATGCCCTACAGTCTTAAGACTCCCACATTCACACAAGCCAGAAACATGCTTCCCTACAATGTGCAAAGAATAATTCAACCCACAGTGCCCCAATCTCAATCTGCACATTTTAACTGAGTCCCTGCGGGACAAAAAGTTACATGAGCATCTTTTCCTAACTTCAGGTTGTATAGAAAAGTAATGTCTACCCCTAATTTCCTTTTCCCACCCTCTCTGCCATTCTTTTATTAAACTCTCTTTAATTTTTCTCTTAATTCCACTCTTCCTAATAATAAATGAACATCTACTTCTCTTCCTAAGCTCTCCTTTGCAATATTATCCACTCGTTCATTCCCACTCACCCCAGCATGCCCGGGGACCCAGCAAAAACTGATGTTGCAAATAAACCTAGTACTAAAAACCACATTCAGGATGTCATTGACAATGTCAGGACGAGATTTAGATTTTCCTACTTTTAAATTATCTAGAGCACCTACAGAATCAGAGCAGATAATAACTTCTCTAGGTTTGACTTCCTCAATCCACCATAGAGCCCATAGAATTGCCATTAATTCAGCAGTGAGAACAGAACTTCCATTAGAAATACGCCGACTAATTTCCAACCCTAACTGTTCCACATACACCCCAAATCCAGCTCTCCCACTAACTGGATCTCGATGGCCCTTGTGTTGTGATTCGCTAAGCGCCTAGTTCTGGTTCACGCTGTTCGGAAACGTCACGCCGTTACCAGTTGCACGTGCTCCGTTATGAGGAATCGAGCTGAACTTGAAAAGGTATGGGTGCTGAAAGAGGCCAAAATTTTCTATCGTATTAGGACACAGTACAATTTCATTATGTTTCTTTCTCTGTAGGCCTGTATGAATTAATTATTACATAATTTATTATATTAATGATAATTATACATCTTACCATTTTTTTTCTTTTAATATGTTTATATTGTAATTATTATATGACATTAATGTTAATTAAATGTGATATTAATGTTAATTATCATACATTATTTTTTTGCATTTTTATTGTTGATTTTAATGTTCGTAGCTATATAAAGAATTCATTAATAATTATACATCCATTTGATACATTTTTATGTAAATTTGTATGTTTATTTTGTAGTGTCTAGCAGACTTTTGGGGTTTTACCCTTTAGACAATGGAGTGTTTTTAAGATTTCCACTCCGTGGTGGTTTCATGTTTTTTGCGTTTTTAAGCCCCCAAAACGCCGTCACTGTCTAAACGAAAGGCATCTGATAAAATATGTTTAGGTTTTCACCCGCGAGCGTTCTTTTGTAGTAATTACAGTTTTTCTCGATTGTTTACACACATTTTCTGAAAGAATACCTCATATTCTCAGAACTCTACACACAAATCTAAAAACACTCACACAATTGGCAAAACCCCTCAATTCTCCTGCAAAATGAAACTTTACATTCAAAACAATGTTATTTCTTCTCAAAATGGTATTTTGTTTTCAAATGACACACACAAACCATCATATGAATAGACATTTATAAGGACCAGTTGAACACTGATGTGCTCAATGTAAAACACTATGATCAATGTAAAACACTTCTTCTCCATTCATCATAATGACTTAGGCCTTTTTTATTCAGTGTTACACTTACTACAGACATTACATACATAAGTGTGTTGTAAAATATTTGAGAATATTGTTTTTATACCCAGAACACACAAATACACGGTAACAAATATATTTTATTTTCCCACAAAATCAATGGGAGATAGATCCCACATTTTGTACACCCCAACCAACACAAAGTTGCACATACAGTGGTCTACATACAAAACTACATAATTTCTTATGCTGTTACAGTAAAAAAATAAATAAAAAAAATATCTATGCTGCATCCTCTCTTTGGTTTTGGTATTTTATGCCAAAGCTCTGATCGCTAATTGTAAAACTGTGTGACGTGTGTTTGCCCGTGTCACGAGTCAGTGTGAATATTTGAATGGCAGTGTGTTCCTCATGAAAACAAGAGATTTTCTGCATGAAAATTGTGCCAAAAGCAGAGAATTGTGTGTAGTGTTTTGAAAAAAGTGTGTTTTAGAACTGCAATTTGAGTGTAAAGCAGGAATTGTGCTTGTAGTTCAGCAGAATTGGTTCAGGGGGTTGGTGAATGAGTTACATGTTGTGGCCATTGTGTCTCAAGTACCAGAAAATGTGTGTAAACAATCGAGAAAAACTGTAAACAGCTGCTTTTTCAGAACAAGTTTCGTTTCGTTTTTGAATAATATTGTGTCCTCTATTGCCCGGACTCGACTCGGATATTTTTCCGAGTATAAGTCAGAGTCCGTGTCAAGTCCCAGTACACATTCATCCGAGTGCGTAAAAATAGTAAAAATTAAAATGTTGAAGTATTGCCAACAGAATGAAAGTCTGTTTACAGATATTGCATCATTTTATAGTTAAATAGCCCTGGGATTAAAAGTTTAGGACTTAAGGTCCTGAATGGATCTATGTGACTACAGTGTAAAATACATTTATTAAAGGAAATGGTGGTGAAATAGAAACATTCACACTTGTGCCAAAAATGTCCATAAGGTTAAGGGTTAAATGGATGTATATGTTGTATCGTTGTTCTGCAGTTCTAAGAAAGCTTCTCAACGGTAACCTCGCGCACACACAAACACATGTGGGTGGATTAGATTTCGGAAACCTATAGATGTAAGAATTAAACTATAAACATATCAGAACAAGAAAGAGCTTTATTGGCAAGTGTGCTTAAACACAGGAATCACTAACACAACAAACAAGGCAAATTCTAAGAATAAAAATATAAAAAATACACAAATATAAGTTCACAGTTGGGTTTAGTCAGAATAGAGTATATGAATACATAAAAATATCACGTGAGTTGTTTGTTATTAATCATGAAAACTTGGGTAACTTTTACCTATCTTTAACCAGCTAATAAATACTACATTGCTAATTGGTGACACAATTGATAGCGATTGCTGAATGAGTAATGTAACACATTAAACACACTTCTCAAACAAACTTGTACCATGATGGACCATGAATATGTTCATGTTTTTACGAATGTTCGTATACCATAGACGGTTAATAAATTACTAATTTATGCACTTAATGACTAATGACTAATAAATGACTAATTTAAGCACTAAGCGCTGAATGAGTAATATTACACTGTTCTCAAATCAAGCTCATTCCTCAGAACAATGATGGAAACCCCCCAAAAAACAACATAGCAGAAGATCTTTTATAACATAACAGAAACACGAAACATAGGGGAGACCGGGGGCAATTGAGGGGGTGAAATTCATTCTAGAGTGATGACACTTAATCTGTACATGCCCAGTAGGATTCTCTCTCTATCTGTGGAAAAGAAGCAAGATATTTTCAACTTTAGCAGAAGTTGTTAACAACAAACTGATTTTGAGGTATGAAAGTTATTTTTTGAATGGACAGTATTTTTCTTCTGCTGTCTAAAATTTAGATGTCTGTGAATTTAAACTTATATACATTTAATCCTATAGGTTATTGATTAAAAACGAACGTGAACAACATAATACAGGTTGGGCCAGTTAGCATTTAAGATTTTGTCATGGCTACAGTATCGGGGGCAATTGTAACACTGTGTTACACTGTTAAAAATTTTCCCGTTAAAAAACAGTAAAGAACTGGCAGCACGGTTGCCAGCAAGTTACTGTTAAATTAACAGTTTTTTACTGTTAGTGAAATTTACAGTTCACTACCGTTTATTAAAAAACAGTAATTAACTGGCAGCACGGTTGCCAGCAAGATACTGTTAAATTAATGGTGTCTTACTTTTGGTTAAATGTACAGTTGTTACTGCTTTTGCAAATGCATAAAGCAGTTTCTACATGTTACAGCAATATCCTGAAAAAAGCATGGGCACTTATTTGTTCTTCATATTGAAATTAGTGTAAACTACACAAATATACAACATGGTATTGTGTAATGTATTGAATAATGGACAGTTAGCAAAAAGGACAACTTTTCCCCCTGTGTTTTTAAAGATTATTTTCTGAACCTTGTGATTTAATACATTTCCCTGTTGCAGTCTTGCTATAAAATACCAAAAGTGAATAAATTTAAAAGTGAAATAGTAAATTAAAAATGTCACAGAAGAAAAGCAGCTTTAAGTATTGTTTCAAAACATGTCTCGTTTATTAAACTTCTGAAACTCTTTTTGGAAAAAAAGCATAAAGGACATAACTAAATAATAAAAAAAATAACTAAAATTCAAGGTTTAGAAGTTACAACAAACATAAATAAACAAGATGTTTCCAAAATCAGAATCTGAACTATCCTGTAACTTGAACAAGTCCTTAACAAATGACTAAGTATACTGTCATTTTCTTTTTTTTTCCTCTGGACACAAACAGTGAATTACTTTATTCACCTGATTTTGAGTGTGTGTGTGTGTGTGTGTGTGTGTGTGTGTGTGTGTGTGTGCATGTATATGCGTGTGTGTGTGTGCGCGTATATGCGTGTGTGTGTGTGTGTGTGTGTGTGGGTGTGTGGGTGTAATACTTGTATAAAGTCCCACTCAAAATCCATCAATTTTTTAAGCAGACTGGAGACACGAGGGTTCACTGTTTTGTTTTTCTGGGCGAGCTTCCCCGTCCGTTTTGAAATGACTCCTCCAACCTTGGTGCCTTTTTCTGGGTTTATCCCGATGAACTGCCTGAAAAACAAACATGTTTGCTCAGAATTAGTTTACTCACAAAGAACATATAAATTTGCTATAATCTTAACTATTCTTGTTTTAAGATCACTTCCTCTAACTTTGTCAGGAAAGGATAGCTTTCTGAACAATCTTTTGGGGGTGAAGGATGTGATTTAATCTAGAATAAAGATATCTCCTTATTCAAGCTTTTGCATAGCACACCTTATATGCTATTTTAGCAATGTTTAAAACATTTTAACAAAATCATTTGATCATCATTTAGGTGTCAAAGATGAGGCTTCCTTCCAAGGTTTTCACCAACACTTCACCACCACCAAAGCCCTGTTTATTTCCTTAACAGTCATCTATGGCTACTCACTGGGCTTCAAATAGTTTAAAAGAAAATGTCTTTATTTGATGCTAGATTCCGTTAATTAGGGCCAAATTGTGTTGTATCAATTAACAACACATTCTCACCCCAAGGCGTCACCTTTGACCATGCTTCAATATTTGACGTTTTAGGCGCCCTTTAGCGTCACTTACATGACGCGATCCTACGGCGTCATCTAACTGAAGCTAAAGGAAAGCGTCAGTTTGAGGACGCGGTTAGGTTTAGGTGTGGGGTGGGGGTAGGGTACACGCGATCCTAGGGCATCATCTAACTGACGCTAAAGGGCGCCTAAAGCGTCAGATATTGAAGCATGGTCAAATGCTTCCCAAGGCGTCAGTTAGGTGACGCCTTGGGAGTGAGAATGGGCTGCAATTAAACATACAACACTGCAACAATGAAAAATTGTATGTAAAGCTGCGTTGAAATGATATGCATTATAAAAACTGCTATATAAATAAAAGTGAAGTGAATTGAATGTATGCATCCAAGTATTTACCTTTGAATAAATTCCAGTGTGCATGCTGCCTCAGCTTGGTATTGAAGATTGAAGTTGTAAAAAGTAGAAAAAACAGCAGCAAGCCCAGACACAAAAGCCGGCTGGATGCCCTCAGAAATAATATGACCCTCAAGGCTGATCATCCAGTGCTGAATACAGCTTCCTGGTGTTTCACCTGAAACATTAAAATGAAAAACTGTCAGCATCGGCATAAAAACATGAATCTGCCACCACCGTATTGTAAATGAAATCATTGACAGAGCCATTTTTATTAAAATTTTCAACGTGTTGATCATGGACTTATCTGGGCAAACATTTAATTTAAAATGTGTATTGTGAAATTATGTTCTCAACATTGTTAATGGGTTAGTTCAACCATAAAAAGAAAATCCTGTCATGAATTACTCACCCTTATGTTCCAAACCCATAAAACTTTAATTTATCTTTAGACAAAGATATTTATAAAATTGTTTAATAATTGTTGTCCATCAATTAAAAGTCCATGTTAAACATAAACTCAACAGAAACAACACTGGGCAAGAAGATGATATAATTAGTGTGTGTTGTGTGTGTGTGTGTGTGTATGTGTGTGTAAACTATCCTTTTAAGTGTTGAAAATAAGTAAATTAATATAAAAATTGAAAATTAAGTAAATAATTACTCACCCTGGTGTTGTTCAAGGCCATATGTTCTTTTTCAGATCATAAATTAAAGAAAAATTGACTACACATGTAATCTGAAATCTGGTTTCTGACAATTGAAATCAGAAAATGATTCTATGTGACTCGTGTCATATATTCCAAGTGTTCTGGGGGTATACAAACCGAAATGTACTGTAAATTTACACGACACGAGACTCTATAGCACCACATTTCACTCCAAATCATGCTCTGCAGCATGATAACACTGCAGCAGCAATAACTAACGTTTAAATATGAATTAGTGTTAATAAATATTCTAAAGTAACACTGCAGCGGCAACAACAAAGCTTTAAATGTGAATTAGTGTTAATAAATTTTAAATTACGTGTTGGGCAAAATAACACTGCAGCAGCAACAGTGAAACATGAATTAGTCTTAATGATTATTAAAAATTACGTGCTGGACAAAGTAACACTGCAGCAGCAATAACTAAACTTTAAATATGAATTAGTGTTGATAAATAAATTACGTACTGGGAAAAGTAACACTGCAGCAGCAATAACTAAACTTTAAATATTAATTAGTCTTAAAGATTATTCTAAATTTCGTGCTAGACAAAGTAACAATACAGCTTAACTTTAATATGAATTATTCTTAATGCTTATTCTATCACTTAACTTATATCAAAACCTGGATCTATGCAAAAATAAAGCCACCATTAAAGTAGGCCTAACAATACAATCACTTGTACAACAAATAAATCACCCTGAGATGTACAGATTAGGCCTACAACAAGTTTATCCCCATTTAAAAGCACAAAAAGCCCGAAATTTAGGTTTTGTCCAACGGTTTTCCGAATAATGAAAAATCAAGCTGCAACACTTTAGCGCGCTAAGACGACGATGTAATTCACATGCAACAATGTTTTTACTTATAGCTTTGCATAAACTTTGCAGAAGAATTGATTTTGGATGAAACTCACCCTGTAATCGGGAATTATCCGTGTGAGGAATCCAACTTCCCTCACGATGTCGCAGTTGGTGCTTTTATCACTGCGAATACAAAAATAGTTAGGCTACTTCCAATATCCAAAATACAAGTTAGTAACAATTGCAGATGTAATGCATTTTTCTATCACAACGAGCAAAACAAAAGGGAACTCACCTATTATAAGTATGAAGATGGATGAAAAATCCATGCGTGCTCACTGCAGCTCTTCCGATGTCAAGTCAAAAATACTGTTAAGTACCGTTTTGTTTCCCTCGAGCAATAATTACGTTAAAATGCCGTTATAATTTTTCTACGTCATATTACAAACGCAAAAAAACAGCAATGTACTGCTTTTGAACAAGACAGGAATATACTGTTGAAATTTGGCCGTAAATTTACAGCAATTTCTAACAGTGTACAATTGCTGTTACAATTGCCCGAGCCACAAGGCCCATTGTCATAAGCTTGTCTGTGTGTGTTGACATACTTTTCTGTTAAAAAATTAACATATTTCACCAAATTCCATTGTAAAACTTTTTTAATCTATTGTAAAAAATTTTTTTAAAGGGGTGTATTAAAATAAATGTTTGTTCCAGTATTAACCCTCAGGCTCTTCGCTTCGCAGTCACACTTGTTATCTTCTCTGTCAAAAGTGACCGGACACCTAAAAATGAAACTTTCTCCATCCCAGTAAAACCAATGCAATTTATTTTTGTTCTATAATATTTATTCTTTTTAATTTAGTATTTTGAGATAATTTAAATGAATTTATTAATATTTATGCAATATTTATGGTTTATTTTTGCCATAGAAAAATATATATTATTTTCTATATATATATTATTTTCTTCAAAAAAATATTAATGCAGTATTTTAGTTTAATATAGAGTCTAGGCCTTCAGAAAAAAAATATTTTTTGAAGAAAATTAGCACCATCTGGTTACAGTATAGAGAAAAAGCGTAGAATCATGGTGTAATCACTAGATACAGCTCTCTATGGAGAGGCATGTGAATTCCCCAGCTGTTTATGAACACATTTTTGTTGTTGTTGTTGGTGGATTTGTATATATAGTTGAAACAATCTCAAAAACTATTTCTTATAAAAAAAAATGACAAAAAACAAGTATTCACAATTTTTGTTCTTTTTTCTTTACAATTTCCCATTCATTTCCTATGGGGTCATTTTTGACCAAAGACCACAAGTGTGACTATTTTTTTAAGACCACTTAGCATGCTCAGATCATGACCTCAACTTTTTTGTGTGTTCACATACATAATGCCATAAAAGTCACCAAGTTTCGTAACATCGCGATGAAGCTGTGATTTTTAAAAATTCAAAACATACTTTTTGTAATCAAAATTTATTGGTATGTATGTGTATAAAAATGTGTTTGTATGTGTGTGTGTGTTGGTGGGTGTGTCTGTTTTGCACTCTAGATGTTGTAGAGTGTCACCCTTTTCCTGCGGTGTACTTTTTTTTTAGAATTGTGGCCGATTTGTAGATTGTACATACAAAAATTCAGAGAATTTTTTTTTTGTATCAATTTCCCATTCATTTCCTATGGGTTGTCATTTTTGACAGAAGAGCAAGTGTGACTCATTTTTTTTCGACCACTTAAATTGCTCGAATGTTCACATACCCAATGCCATAAAAGTCACCAAGTTTTGTAATTTTCTGAAGAAGCTGTGATTTTTAAATATTCAAAACAGATTTCTTTAATCACAATTTATTGGTGTTTTTGTGTATAAAAGTGTGTGTGTATGTGTGTGCGTAGGGGTGGGTATGTCTGTTTTGCACTCTTGATGTTTTACAGTGTCACCCCTTCAATGCTGAGCACTTTTTTTCTGCATCGTGGCCGATTTGTAGATTGTACACACAAAAATTCTCAAAGTTTTTGTGTTTTTGTCAATTTCCCATTCATTTCCTATGGTCGGTCATTTTTGACCGAAGAGCACAAGTGTGGCTATTTTTTTTTACGACCACTTAGCATGCTCGAAACATGACCTCAATTTTTTTGTGTGTTCACATACCCAATGCCATAAAAGTCACCAAGTTTCGTATAACATTCCGATGAAGCTGTGATTTTTAAAATTTCAAAACAGAACATTTTTCGGTCAGAAATGACCGAAGAGCACCTGAGGGTTAACACAGTAAACTTTTATTTTTTTGAATGTGTGTAATGTCTGACATCTAAAAGAATTTGAACCATATACAAAAAAAAAAAAAAAAAAAACTCTTAAGTAACATATTAAATACAACAGCAGTAAAGTGATTATACTTTGAGGTAGGCTTTTACTTGAGATAAAGTGGGTTAATAGGAGTTATTTCTCAGTGTTATAATTGCCCCCACACACTGTTACAACTGCCCCCGTTCTTATAAGTGAAAATATATAAATTGTATGAATTAGTGCACATATATATGTTAATTGTAGTCTATCTCAAGTAGTTTGTGAGTTATTAAGGAAAATGTAAAATATGTTACAATTGCCCCCGGTCTCCCCTACTAAATCTGACACTTAACATATCACAAAGCATTATATGACACTACATTTTTGCACCTACTCTCCCTTTTGAGTGTCATGGCAAATCATGCTGGGAAATAGAAAGCTTTTCCAAGTTTTATTGAAATTTAAGGTTGTCAAAATTTTAGCAAAAATATAAATATAAAATCCCGGCCCGGGCCGGGTGGATTTAAATTGATTGTCCCGGACCGGGTTGATTTAAATATATTGTCACGGACCGGGTTGATTTAAATATATTGTCACGGACCGGGTTGATTTAAATATATTGTCACGGACCGGGTTGATTTAAATATGCCTGTAGCCTATTGTCACGGACCTTGTGGATTTAAATATTACCCGGGACCGGGTTGATTTAAATAATTTGGGGACTCCTTTCCTCTCGGATATCCCGAGATATACCTCCGCCGCACTCCACCACCGCCTCGACGAAGAAGGTACCGACGCCGTGGGAAGCGCAGCGGTTTTCTCGAGAGGCTGAGGACGATGCTTGTATGTCCCGATTGAGGTGGATGTGAAGCTGGTCCGCGCCTGTGTGTCGCTCAACGCACTCTCGACCCTGTTGCCTACTCTCTGGTTACTGTGGCGGGTCCCGATGTGGCCTTCCAGACCCGCACCCGACTCCCCGTCTCCGCTGGCGCGGAGTGAGTACTATCTGAGGCCTTTGTGTCGTGCTTCTTCGGCAGCTGTTTGCCCTGACCGCTATGTTTGGCCACTTGGAAATAGAACATGATTTCTTTATTTCACGGGAACTGGATTTCCTCTCTCTCTCTCTCCGAGACTTGGCTGAGTGCTGGTGAGTTCTAATTAGCCAGGCTAGGCTAGGTGAGTTCAGTGATTTTACGGAACTTTTACCTGACAAGTGTTGCTATTTCAATTCTCCCAGGACATCTGACCGAGGAGGAGGAATTACGACAGTTTTTAAGAGTGATTTTAAATGCAAGCAGATATCGCTCCCCTACCAGCTTTGAACTCAGTCTGTTTGAACTGGTTGTGTGCGTGCGGTGGTCTATCGGCCTCCCAAATATAATAAAGACTTTTTTAACGGACTTCTCTGTGTTCTTGGCGGATATTATGCTTATGACGGGGTCCTTGTTGGTGGTGATTCACGTGTGCTGCACTGAGAATCCATTAGCAAGAGACTGTATAAACATCATTGACTCTTTTAATCTTGTCCAATCTGTAACTGGGCCGACACATGAACGTGGTCACAGACTTGATCTTGTTTTATCCTATATGGTTTGCCCTTTTTAAAACTGGAGATCTTTGATGCTTTTTTCTCTGATCACATGCCGGCGGTACTGTTTGAAGCTACTGAGTACTGTTTGTTGTCAAATAGCTAAACCTCGTGCTGCCGCTCGCACTTGCCGAGTTATTAATCCCTCCACTGCTGCTTACTTCTCGACTGTCTTCAGTCAAAACTGCATCATCATGCCTGAAAGTGTGTATAATGAGACTGAGGCTTTTAACTCTTGGTCTCTCGACACCTGTCAATCTGCTATTGATATAGCTGCTCAATTAAAAATCAGATGGAAAAAAACTAAGTCAGAGCCCTGGCTGAATGAATCCGCCCGTGCTTCCAGACAGCAGTGTCGAAGAGCTGAGAGAAGCTGGAAAAATGACAAACTACGAGTGTCTTTTCAAATATTGAAGGATCGTTGGCGTCATTATCGTAAAAGAGGCAAAAAGAAACTATTTTTCATATATTATTCTGTTAAACTCGAACAAGCCTCGTGTTTTGTTTAAGGTTATCAACTCCGCCCTGAATGCACCACAGACTGTTGCAATTGATGCTTCCTGTGTGTGAAAACTTTCTTAGTTGATAAAGTATTTTCTGCCAGAGCACTTATTTCCCCCTGGTTTCGATCCTTCAGTGTTTGTCCCCTGCTCTGCTGTTCTAGACACTTTTGAGCCTGTGACTCTGCCTTTTGTGCAGGTGGCAAAATATTGTTGGTCATTTGAAGCCCTCAGGTTCTCCAGGTGATACTCTCCCTTCTTGACTTCTTAAAGAGGTTTCCCCGACTATTGGACCATCGTTTACTACAGTTATTAACAGTGGTTCCAGTTAATTTTAAACGTGCCGGTGTGCAGCCCTTGTTAAAAAAAAAAAAAAAAAAAAAAAAAAACCTGGGCTGGATACGTTTTGGCTCATTTTAGGCCCATTTCCAAATTGCCTTTCCTTTCTAAAATTTTGGAAAAGATTGTCTATTCCCAGCTCATGGACTTTATAAATGAACATAATATTATTGAGGTTTTCCAATCCGGTTTTAAAACACTACATAGCACTGAATCACTGCACTGAGTTTTTAATGACCGCTTTTTAGCTACTGACTCTGTTGTCCTTGTACTTTTAGATCTGACTAATGCTTTTGATACAGTGGCTCATGAAATCCTGATTACTCGTTTGAAGCAGTGGGTGGGCATTAGGGGCACAGCGTTAGAATGGTTCAGGTCCTACATGTCCCAGCGAACTTTCTGTGTTGGCCTTGCTGACTCTGTTTCCTCCGTTGCTCCCCTGTCACAGGGGGGTGCCACGGGGTTCTGCGCTCGGCCCTCTTTTATTTCCCCTCTACTCCCACTTGGTTCAATTCTCAGGAAGCATGGTATATATTTTCATTGCTATGCAGATGACAGTCAGATGTCCCTCTCAGAAAGTCTGTTATTGTCCCGGACCGGGTTGATTAAAATATAGCCGGGTGGATTTTAATATATTGTCCCGGACTGGGTGGATTTAAATATATTGTCCCGGACCGGGTGGAATTAAATATATAGTCCCGGGCCGGGTTGATTTAAATATATTTTCCCGGACCGAATTAAATATATAGTCCCGGGCCGGGTGGATTTTAATATATTGTCCCGGACTGGGTTGATTTATATGGTCCCGGACCCGGTGGAATTAAATAGGCTATATAGTCCCGGGCCGGGTTGATTTAAATATATTTTCCCGGACCGAATTAAATATATAGTCCCGGGCCGGGTGGATTTTAATATATTGTCCCGGACTGGGTTGATTTAAATATATTCTCCCGGGTGGACTTAAATATATAGTGCCGGGCCGGGTGGATTTAAATATATTGTCCCGGACCGGATGGATTTAAATATATATTCCCGGCCGGGTGGATTTTAATATTGTCCCGGACCGGGTTGATTTAAATATATTGTCTCGGACCGTGTTGATTTAATTATATTGTCCCGGACCGGGTTGATTGAATTATATTGTCACGGACCGGGTTGATTTAAATATATTGTCCCGCGACGTGTTGATTTAAATCTATTGCCCCAATACAGTCAGTTCACTCTGCTGTCTCGTGTGCGTCGTGTGTCTTCATGAAGCTGTTCATCTGTTGATTCCTGTGTTTCTGCTCATTAACGCTGATTCTCCACATCCAGCATCAGTCTGCTCTTCAGGTCAGCTGTGTTTCATTCCTATGTGTACGTTGGATAGGCAACGAAAAAAAGATTTTTATTACAAGAATGTCTACGTGAAAAATATTTATACGCAAAAACAAGTAAAATGCAGTGAATAATTGAGTCTTAAATTCTCTGATTGATTGAATTATTGTCCTGGACTGTGATGATTTAATTGTCACGGACCAGGTTAATTTAAATATATTGCCCCGAATGATGCGTGTCTGAAGGTAATTTATTGCAGAAAAGGTGAATATAATTGAGAATAATGGATTTAGAAGGAATTCAATATTTCAGCCTATAGGCCTAGTAGAAATGTCTGGTTCTGTATTTTATGGTTCTGTATTTTATGTAGGCTAGCTGTAGGCTAATAATAGTATAGCCTAATAGTAGGCCTAATAATAATACTGAATCTGCTAAATTATGTGATATTAAATGTATTCTTAAGTATCACAACAAATTCCACATTTATAATTGGTAACAATTTCAAGTGTAATCTTTAACCCTTTCTACTTTGCGTTTCTGTCATTCATAAATTGATGTGAATATTTGTTGCTGTCATTGATTTCTAATTAATAAATATGCTTTTTTAAAATAGGTTTTTTAAATAATCTGTTATAGTCGAAATAAAGCTATAACTTTCTGACCACATGTGTGTTTTGAGACGTATAAAGGTGTTGTGTTTCTCAGATAAACTAGAGATGTGATATTGCAACACTATCTCACGACCAATTCGTACGAATTCGACGCATGATTAAAAAGTGGCTAATTCGTACTAATTCGTACGACCGTAGTAGTAGGCATGCGTCTGTCAAGAATGACAATGCTTGGGTAGTTCACATTAGTCCATGTTGGTTAACTTCATCCGTCTTTCCCTCAACTTTAGAAGGTCGTTGGCGTGGTCTAGTTGTCTTCCTTTGTGAAGTTGAGCCCTCCACTGATCCCGATTCCTTGATGCTACGATTCATGATACGGTCCAATTGGCCAATTCGTAAAATATGTATACGATTTAGCAAACGAGTGAGGTCGTATGAATTGTTACGAATTAGCCACTTTTTAATCATTCGTCGAAGACGGAGGTAGCGACACAAGTCAGAGACTTTACAATAGAACCAGTGAGTCCTATGAAATAGATGACCAGTTAAACACAAGAAAAACGAGAAACAATGTCAAATATCGAATACTTTAGTTTCATGTACTATGTATTTTTTTCCAAAGCATTGTTTAAAATAAAACCGGAGAAAATGTGTCGGTAATGGGCAAAAACATTCTCTGAACAACTTTGGATCGCAATTCTATGTTGATGTTTTAAGTGACACACACACACACACACACACACACACACACACACACACACACACACACTTGTCTCAAAGGAAATGACAGCCTACAAAGGAAACACCAGACCACAGAGGCACGCCCTTCTTCCGCATCGCCCTCTATCTTTATATCCGGTGCAGTTCAGTTCACTCTGCTGTCTCGTGTGTGTGTCTTCATGAAGCTGTTCATCCTACTCTGCTCATTAACGCTGATTCTCCACATCCAGCATCAGTCTGCTCTTCAGGTCAGCCGTGTTTCATTCCTTTGTGTACACTGTTGGATAGCCTATATACGAAAAAAAGATTTTTATTACAAAAAATATTTATAAGCAAAAACAAGTAAAATGGAGTCAATAAGTGAGTCTTAAATTCTCTGATTGAATATAGTCCCGGACCGGATTGATTTAAATATATTGTCACGGGTCGTTGATTTAAATATAGTCCCGGGCCGGGTTGATTTAAATATATTGTCCCGGGCAGTGGTGTATCCGACATTTTTTGGGGGGTGGCCAAGATGGGACACAAAGCTAGAGCGGGATGGCCATGGCATAGCGAAGTTAAATGTGTATACGTGCAGCCGACCATGGTTCAAAGCCTGGTCCTTTGCTGCATGTCACATCCTCTCTCTCTCCCCCATGATTTCCTGTCTCATAACTGTCAAATAAAGGTGTCTATCCTGTTAAAAACAGTCCTAACCACCAATCACAGACAGTCCTCAAGTATCTCTGGTTATTTTAACATGTCTATTTTTTAATCAGTAATTATGGTCAGGAATCAGGATAGGGTAAATGTTTTCTAAGAGTCATTTTCTTGAAGTGGATTTAAGTCCTTTTCACTTCACAAGTTAGATTAGATTAGCAAAATTAAACTGCTCTTAACTCATCCTATAGGATAACATGTATCAGTCGTCAGCTCATCATCTGTGTCACCTGTATTGTTACCTGAGTTTGCTTTACTAATTGAGGCACCATCTTGTGGTTACATGAAAACACAGAAATCCAACAGGAGAAACCAAAATGCAGATAGGACTTTATTAAAAAGTGTATCTGTAAAAGCAAAAGAAAAAAATAAGTTTGTGAGGAAAAAAAAACAAAATATTTGTTGTTCTTTACATGCTTTTACCTGCTGTTTATGTTATTATTTAGCTTAGATATAATTTGTTAGAGATACTGGAATTTGAATTTCTTAGTTCTTTGCCAGGAGTGTTTTTATTTAACCACAAGAGGGAACTTAAATAAGAAGCCTAAAGCAGCCCATTCTCACTCCCAAGGCGTCACCGAACTGACGCCTTGGGAAGCATTTGACCATGCTTCAATATCTGA